GAGCCCCCCACCCACACAGGTGCTCTCAGTGAGCCCCCCACCCACACAGGTACTCTCAGTGAGCCCCCCACCCACACAGGTGCCCTCAGTGAGCCGCCCACCCTGCACAGGTGTGTTTACTGGGCAAGGCCCCCGCCTGCAGCATGCGTGCCAGGCGGACCCTCAGTGTCAGGACGTGGCATGCATGTGCTCCCAGCAGATGAATCTACAAGTAGGCGGGGCACACGGGGCAAGTCTGATTACATCTCCTTTCTTCTGGATGCGGCTCTGAACCTCGGGGACGGGCACGTCGATGTAGATGGCCACGTGTGGAGGGAGGTACTCGCACAGCGTGATCTTCTTCACCTCACTGTAGTGGTCCACACCTGGCAGAGAGGGCCACTTATCACCAGCAGATAAAAGGCCAGCCCAACTGGGCTTCTAACGCCTTCCCATGTCCCGCCTGCCCCACCCCCCTCCCACACCAGGACTGCAGCCTCAGGAAGAAGGAGGGAAGGGTGGGGCTACACTACTGCTGTGCAGAGCTGGAGGAAGGCATCCCAAGGGCCCAGGGATGGGCTCTCCTGTGAAGTCAAACCTAAGTGTCCCCGTGAGGGCCTGGGTGGGAGCAGCCAGTGTGCCCAGGAACACAGGACCCCCTCTGCTCTCACAGGTGGGGGTGCACGAGCAAGCACACTTAACTAGGCAGGGAAGAAGTGGGAAAGCACGAGTGGGCTCCCAGAGTCTTCCCCATGGGAACTTCCTCGGCACTGACGTCTCCTCATCTGAGAGGCGTTTATAAGCCCACAGGGCCCTCCAGGACCCGCCTGCCTGGAATGCTGGGGGGCGACTCACACTGCTTTCGGATGTAGCCCTGCTTATACATCGCTTCCACGAAGACAAAGTCGCTGAAGATGGAGCGCTCCAACACCACACCCTGGCCTGTGAAGGCGGGCAACATGGGAAAAGCAGGGGGTGAACCCGATGCTCTGAGGAGTGACCTCACCTGTTACTAAGGTCAGGGCGCCAGCCAGTCACAGGACCATCAGCACGTCAGACTCAGGAGAGACACACTCAGAAGAGGGCAGGAAGCAGATCCTTTCTGAAAGATCACTGACTTTCTGCTTCAACCAATCACCTGACACAGCAGCTTCCCGCTGGTCTTAAGTGCTTCTTTCAACTGCATATGTCACACCCACTGCTCTCACCTCTCCTGCCCACAACTGCCTGGGTCAGAGCCCAGGGTCACAGGAACCCACTTCCCCACACATCCCACTCACTGCAGACCTTAGCAGCCACCTCTCCTGCCACACCTTCCACGCCACCTCCCAGCACCTCCATGGGGCGAACAGTGTCCCCTCACCCTGGAGGAGGTCACAGCCAAGTGAGTCTCCCTGCTCCCACCTAGCCACACTGTCTAAATGTCCCTTCCTCCCACCACACAGCAGTGACGTTTCCAAGACAGACCAACTGGCTCAACCATGCAGCCTGCCAGTGGCTCCCTACGCCCCTCTGAAGGACCCACAGTCCCAAGGCCCATGAGACCCTTCCATCTCACCTGCCACTTCCTGACTTCCTCTCCTGACAGCCCCGTTTACTCTGCCTAGTCATGAAGGCCTAACCTGCCCAGAGCACACACTGGTGGCCACACTCTAAGGCTTCCCCTCTGCTTGACATCTGTGGGGAGAACATAAGACCCTGGACGACACCGTAGGTGTGCCTGCCTCATGTCCACACCTCACGGCCCACCCCCACGGGCGACCCACTGTTCTCAGTCCCGGAGCGCTGATGCATTTTATCTCCCCACTTGCACCACTGGCACCACAAGTGCCACACCCCCGTGAAACACACTTCACAGTGTGACACAGCAGCACAATTAACACCTGCTCCTTTCATCGAAGCAGCCCTGGGCTGAAGGGCCAGCAGCCACCCCAGAGGAGGACAGTGAGGGAGTATGTTTCCAGCAGATTTACAGCCTCGGAAACCTATGGAGCAGTTCTACTGTGTCCTCCAGACCTGTGAGCCAAAACCAGCGGACAGCAGCATCTTCGGTTTGGGTTGCACCTCAGAAAGTCCCCGCCTTACTGAGAAAGTGACCTGGTGCCACCAGTGTCCTAGAGAAGGTTCTCCTCCGTGGGAACCTAGCAGGGCAGGAGATGGTGCCCGCGGATAGCTACCTGTGCTCAGCAGGTGCTCCAGGGCGTCCGCATACTGCAGGAGGCGGTTCGCATACAGCCAGGCCTGCAGGCGGTAACTGTTGCCAGTGTTGCTCTTCGGATCATCATAAAACTCCTCAAGACTGCAGTCGCCGCTTAACTCTCTGTCCAGCGGCTTCCCATCGCCCACTCTTCTGGCTGCGTAATGAATGCCTGCCTCCGGAAAGTGCCTCATACCTGCAGAGGAACAGCCAGGTGAGCCAGGACTCTGGAGGCCCGTGCCGCTGGCCAGCAGACTAGGAGGGGCCAGCGGTTGGCCTGAGCCCCCACTGAACACAAAGACAAAACACCGATATGAAGTCACCCATGAGGACAGGTCACCTGTCCCAGCAAGCAAGGTGTACAGAGGAGAACATGTGCCAACGCCCCACAGCTCGGGGCGGCCCTCTGGCACAAGATGGTAGAGGAGGACCACAGATGAGCCTGCACTGGGGAAAGGGATCCCCTCTGGCTTCAGTGGCCAGGGGGTGGCCTTGGTCTCTCCTGAGTTTATCCCTCTGTCATTAGCAATGACAGCTGCCCATCTATTGCAGCAGGGGTCTGGGGGCACAGTGGGAACCCACCAGCCTTCTCAGCAGGAGAAAGGGGGTGTCTGCGTCCATCAACACGCCAGCCTCGGAACCCCTGCAGGGCACCTGGAGGACCTCTCACCGTCAGGCAGCTCGGCGGGCTGGGATCCACCTCCGAGGAAAGCTCCCTGTTCACACTTAACAGGGCCACTTCCAAATCAAGGTGAGAACCTTCGTGGTTATGGCTTAACCTCCCAAGCGAGAAAGATTTCAAACCAACAAAACCTTTAAACCTTTGTAAACCGCCTCCCCGCTGAGCCCACTGCACCATGCAGTGGACGCGGGGACAGCACGGCGCACACGCGCGCTCCCACCTACCGAGCTTCTCCGCCAGGTCCTTGGCGAGCTGGCCTTTCCCAGAGCAGAGGTTGCCGTCCACGGTGATGACCTTGCTGCGCTCCGTCAGCCTTTTGCTTACCTTGTCGCCCAGCACGAAGGCCAGCACGCCATACCTGAGCCCGAGCCGGGCGCTCGTGTGCACCGCGCCCTGAAACACACAGCCGCACGTGAGCAGCGACGTCTGCCTCCCCGAAAGGAGCGCCCAACACCAGGGCGGCTAACGGGAAGGTCAGCAGTTCAAACCCCCAAGTCCATGTGCAAGGCGCGCAGCTGGACTCCTCCAGCTCCTCCCCGGGACCACTGAAAACCCCCATGTCAGCCCCTCCCTGTCTGCCAGGCTGAATCCCCACCCCGGGAGCAGGACAAGCGGACCGGAC